TCCGAGATGATCCATGTTCGAACTCATCCGAGCTATCAACTAGATAAGCATCCTGACCAAGTTTGATGATGATTGATGCAAAAATGTGACCGCTAGAGTGTTAACAAGGTTTTTCTATTTTTAGCTCCTGTGACCTACTTTTTCATCCGAGATGACCCATGTTTGAACTCATCCGAGCTATCACATAGACAAGCATCTTGACCAAGTTTGATGATGATTGATGCAAAAATGTGACCGCTAGAATGTTAACAAGGTTTTTCTATTTTTAGCTCTGGTGACCTACTTTTTCATCCGAGATGACCCATGTTCGAACTCATCTGAGCTATCAACTAGATAAGCATCCTGACCAAGTTTGATGATGATTGATGCAAAAATGTGACCGCTAGAGTGTTAACAAGGTTTTTCTATTTTTAGCTCTGGTGACCTACTTTTTCATCCGAGATGACCCATGTTCGAACTCATCCGAGCTATCACCTAGACAAACATCCTGACCAAGTTTGATGATGATTGATGCAAAAATGTGACCTCTAGAGTGTTAATAAGGTTTTTCTATTTTTAGCTCTTGTGACCTAGTTTCTCATCCGAGATGACCCATTTCGAACTCATCCGAGCTATCAACTAAATAAGCATCCTGACCAAGTTTGATGATGATTGAGGCAAAAATGCGACCGCTAGAGTGTTAACAACTAAATGTGAACGGACGACGGACGGACGGACGACGGACAATCATCGATCCTAAAAGCTCACCCTGAGCATGCTCGGATGAGCTAAAAAATTTAACCATTTACCTCTCTAACATGTAAATTATTACTTGAATCTTTCCACTTTTCCTAAAATCTACGTACATTTTCTAAAGTTTGTCTAATTTTATTGTAATATTTTAGTTCATCTGGAGGCATGCTGCTTTAAAGTATTGTCATAGTATCAAATCAAATATTTCCACAGCCTACAGTAAAGTGATGTCACTGAGTCTACAGAGACTTATTCCCTGCGGTCTGGAGACCGCAGGGTATTGGTACGCGTTTAACTTTTGAGGCATGGAAGAACACGTGACCTGTTTTCGGTACATGGAGGAGCATGTGATCTGTAAACCGTACATGATTGGTTAATTGACCTTTTCGAAAACCTAGCTAAATACCGTTTGCCGATACGTTACGGATTTACCTCTAGGGAATTAGTCCTAACTACACCTAATTAAGAACAAAAAACTATTACGTGATATTTCTAATTTTCTATAATTATTTTACCGTTTAGGTTGCAAAAACTTGAATGATGTGTTTGAAAATTATCAATGTTTCTTTAAAATCTATCTCAAATTTTACAAATACTGAAAATCTACAAAATAAAATATTCGTAGTGGCATCTGCCATAATAAATAGAGATATTTTCTGCGTAAACTTGTCTGTTTACTTCATTATTTTTTTGCTCGGAATTATTCATAAAATGGTAGGCCTATTTAATCATTTTCTTAAAAAGAAATAATTGTTTATCTTCGGCCTTCTCCGGTCTTCAACGGTCACCACTTTCCAAAGACCTTCTTCTATATTGATCGATTATTGTTAACTATATTCCTGATAAAAAACGTTTATTTACCCCCCCCCCCCCCCCCCAAAAAAAATGTTGAAAATAGTTAAATGAAATATCTTTATATCATTAAAAATGTTCACGTAGGAAACCATTTTACTTGTAATGACACTTGCCTGGCTCTATTCCATGACGTATCATCACCTTAGTGCAAGAAATGGTTAACTCCAATAAATTTAGAAGGACTTAACCTGTTACTGAACTAAGGTGACAATATGGATTTCTTTCTTGTCTCTATTTGTATTACCCAAAAGATTTTATAAAAGTTATTCTATTTCAGTTCCTGTATAATCATTCAGTAGATATTCATTACAGATTTGCATTAATGATTATAACACATAATGCAATATTCCATTAACAATTCCCAATGGGATATTTCTAGCATTAGCTTCTTAAAAAACTTGTTTACATTAATGACACACAAGTCCACACGAATGTTTACAACTTCTCTTTAATAAATTAGACTAAACAAAATTTCAACACCAACATTATAAGATGCTTTTAAGGAATCTGATATATAGTATGTTAATTTGAAAAATTAAAGAGTATGTTAATTTGAAAAATAGTGCTTCCAAAGGCTATGCAATTGTTAAAATAATATTCCCCTATGTGGCCATTATTTTGCTTAATGACAAAAAAGTACAAATATTATATTCTAAAATGGCCAGCTTTTTTGAAAGTTTCTTGTTTTGAGAGACCACCTTCTTACAAATACCAATCAATATAAAATCAACATAAAAAGTATAAAATAATGACCTTGGTGAACTTGACTGTCGAATAATATAACCTTTTAACCTGTGACTTCTGTCTCCTAATTAAGATAATGGAAATACAGTTATTTCTATTTAATTACTTGTACTACATGTGTGCTAGTGACACTGACATGGAATAGTACTGTTATTTGGCATATTGCTTTTTATCAATAGTAACTGTTTGTTTGTTTGTTTGTTTGTTTCATTTTACGCCTTTTCCCAACAGTATTTCAGTTATATACTAGGCGGGTAGTTTCCTAACGATCGTTCCTGGAGAGTTACACCAGTACTAGACTACCTTCCTCCGCCCTTAACTACCAAAGCATCTCCCGGGGATCAAACCCACACCAGAGAGGTAACTGGATTAGAAGTCATCGACTCTAACCCCTCGATCACGGAGGCAGTCTCAATATAAGTAACTAACATAACAAACTAACATAATTATAGACACACAATTGAATCATGGAAACTTTTTTTGATGTAGATGTTTTTCAAACTATCGTAACCCTTTCTTCATTATTATCATTATGAGTTTCTTTTAATGACTGACAAACCATACAAGAAACGCTACAATTAAATAACCCAAATTCAAATACCCCCTAATACACCCCTTAATTCATTAGTAAATAGTTAGTAAACTATTGAATTTTCCCTCCATCAATACATTTTATAAAGTCAACCAACTGCATTGATTTTTATCTGACATCTATTTGGAAATTAGTCCATTTACAAGTTTTTGTACCTAAAGTGTCATATACACACAGAATTTTGATACTGCTTGTATTAGACAACAATATAATCCTGAATTTTCTGACATTATTAAATTTCATAAAACAATCCAATCAACAATATTCTTTAAAATCATTAGCAATTGATAATGATGAAAAACCATTTCTAACAAGAATTTGTAACAGAGTTACCAACGTCCCCCGCCTCGGGGGAAGTTTTATATGAAGCATAAAATTGTGCAACATTTAATCGTATTTCAAAAGATTGAGGTATGGATTTTAGGACTTTCAGTCCAAAATTATGATCAATGTTAGATCTGCCAATGCAACAATAAATTTATGAAAGAAATACTAGTAAAATGAAACTCTATCATGTTAACCTTTGACCTCTAAGTGTGACCTTGACCTTGGAGGTAGGGGTGCAGGTGTTGTGCATGACATATCGTCTTATTAATATTACTATTTGTGCCAAGAATTTTCAAAATCCCTTGAACTACGTAGAAGTTATAGACGGGACACAAAATAAACCATATAACAGACTCAGTGTTAACCTTTGACCTATAAGAGTGACCTTGACTTTGCTGGTAGGGGTGCAGGTGTTGTACCTGACATATTGTCTTACTATTGTGACTATTTGTGCCTAGTTATTTCAAAAGCCTGAAGAAGTTCTAGATCAGACACAAAATATACCCTAAAACGGACTATGTTAACTTTTGACCTCTAAGTGTGACCTTGAACTTGAAGGTAGGAATGCAGGTGTTGCGCATGAGCAAGTGCGACCTTGACGTCTGGTTGTTGCCCATGACACATCGTCTTATTATAACAAACATTTGTGCCAAGTTATTTCAGATTCCTTTGATAAATGAAAAAGTTATGGACCGGACACAAAATATACCCTGTAAAAGACTATGTTAATCTTTGACCTCCAAGTGTGACCTTGACCTTGGAGGAAGGTGACCGTTTGTTGCGCATGACACATCGTCTCATTATTGTGAGCAATTGTGGCAAGTATTTACAAAATCCCTTCAAAGAGATAGTTATGGACCGGACACGACATATACCATCAAATACACAATGTTGACCTTGAATGAGCAAGCGCGACCTTGACCTTGGAGGTAGGAGTCTGATTGTTGCACATGACACATAGTCTTATAATAACAAACATTTGTGCCAAGTTATTTCAGATTCCTTTGATAAATGACAAAGTTATGGACCGGACACGAAAGTGTGACGGACAGACGGACGGACGGATGGACAGACGGACGGAGCCTATTTCTATATCCCCCTTTTTTCTTTGAAAAGGTGGAGGACAAATAGGTGATGCATGGTTTATAGGTGCTATTATAGTGTGAGATGTTCACAGCAAGCAAACTTAAGCCAAGCTCTAAACACTTAGCTTGTTGGCAGGCACTTATCTACTACCTATGAGTACTGTCACCCTGATCTTGGTCTGTACAGTTTGCTAATTCAGTCAGTTCTTATTTGTAAATTTTATTTAAAAAAATGATTAATGGTTTAATCCAGATAAAAAGACAGACACATTTAAGATATTTAGCTTGGTGTGGGTTGATAAACTAAATGATTTATGTTCTGATATATACTGAAATCCCCTACACACATTATGTTCAGCAGGACTAGTCCTTTATTAAAATCTAAGCCTAAGTCAGAATAAACAAGGTTAGGTAAAAAATATTTTGTTTTCCTTGCGTTTAACAAGGTTGTTTTACCTTTTAAGTTCAGAATCATTATCTGCTATTATATTCAACTGATATGCTCAAAAATGAATATTTTATTACATTTGTAAGTTAATAGTCTAAGATCACCTCATAATAGGCTAATTTACAGGGCAATGAAGAAACTCTTACGATCCTTACAGTGACCTCAATATTCAAGTAAAATTAACGTTAAGATATCACAGAAAGAAAAGAATACAAACCCATGACTGAAAATTTTTGCCACAAATTGCTTCATAAATCCCATACATTCCAATGTAAGGTCATCTGGTTGGCTGTCTAGACTATAATCAGAGCTCCACGATTTTGGCGAACCCATTGAATCTAACCTGCGGGAATGTTCGTACTCGGGCTCTGAAGACTCAACACTTGTCTGGTTATTTAATCCATGTTCATCAAACACTCCTTCAGCTGAATCTACGCTACTTACACTTGGGAAAGATTTTTCACCAGACTTTTCACTTCCAAACTGATTTCTTACATTAACTACTTGCTTAGGATGAAAGTCTTCAAGTTCTGGTTCATCAAATGAAATCAAGTCACCCATTGGTAAGAGAGTTTTACGCTTATTTACAACTACTTCTGGCTCCGGAGTTTTATCTGGTTCCGGTTCTGGCTCAGGTTCAACATAGTCATCAAATAACATTTCGTCTACAGTGCTTGAACGTCTCTTTATGGTTGCAAGAGGGGGAGCTTTTACTCGCTCCTCGGAACTTCTATCTTCTGAAGCATTCCTTTCATACTTTCCCTCCGAGTCACTTGAATGACCACTGAATATATTGGGAGAATTACAAGAACTGGTTCTAGAACTTCTTCTCCCTGTCTTATTAGGATTATAGGGTGGGGGAGGAATTGGAGGTGGAGTTTTCTTCCCTTTCCAACTTGGACCAACTCCAGCCGAAGCTTTTTCCGGTGTTGAGGATGTTTTACTAGGAGAGTAGAGGGGCTCATCAAAACTCATATTAACACCTGATGTATGATAAATCTCTTCATTAACGCTGCTACCACTACTTGCAAAACTCCCTTGCCTTTTACTATACTTGCCCGGCATATGTCCATTTAGATTCCTTTCCACAGCAGACGCTAACTGTTCATTTTCCCGCTCTTTTTGAGATTTCAGCATTGGATTCACTTCTGCTGTAACAACATGTTTCGTCTCAGCTGTCTCATTTTTCTCAGTAGCATTTAATTCCCTTTGGGACTTTTGCGAATAATTAGCATCAGTAAACACTGGACCGTCCGAATCACTCAGACTGCTTCCACTTGAACTTCCCTTCATTAATGATGCAGCAGAAGCACCTACACTTTCTATCTTGTTTGATAAATCATTCATTAATCCATTCTTTTTTGCTAACACAGAACTGAAGAACCTTGATGTTCCCTCGGAAAAGCTTTCCCCACCTGATGATAGTTTCCGACGGAAATCCATATTTGCTTTCGGAGAAAGGCCTCACTTTACAGAAGAACACACTGATTAATTAACTTTTTCTCTCATGACTTTAGACAAATTACGCTGCTCAAAGTGGGCCGATGGATCTATGCCTGAAAATACAGGAGAAAAGAAATCTGTACAATCTTTCTGGAACAAATCCCGTATAAATTAAACCAGGACAGAGAGTTTTAGCAAAGTAATATGTGACTCTGGGAAAACAGGAAAGTGTTGACAGATGATCTGTTGATTGTTGTAGTTATTTTATAAAATGAATGTACTACTTAATTAAATGCATTTTATCTTAATGCTTAATTCTTTACTATGTTATACTACAAAACAAGAAATTTCAGCAGTTCAGTATGTCACAAACAAACTGGAATAATATTATGTTGACAGTTGAAAAATCCTACATTTCTTAACCTAGTCAAAGATGAAAAAAAACAACACTTTGTTAATTTTACACTTGGAGATAGCATTTGGCATACTTTCACCTGCAAAATACAATAAAATAATTAATTTCAGCCAATCATATAAAATCTTTTAATGGCCCATAATGCCCCATATACATTTTTATGCCATCATTTTTATTTCTCAAAAGCTTTTTAAGTTTTGGTGCTCTATTAAAATTTAATAAAAGGTACTCATTGCCCGAATTCCTAAACCATCTTTTGCTTCTGTTGCTTTTTGGCTATTAGCACTATTAATAATGATATAGTATTTGTATGGAAGTCAAAATACTACTTTGTTTACATTTTGCCACTTTTATTACAAATTAATTCTATTCACTATTTTCTTCAGGTGCAAAACATGCCTAAAACCAATATTTAAATGTTATAAAATTCATTCTTGCCCTTTCTTAAGAAGGAAAAATTGTTTCTGCTTTAGCAAAGTTAAAGGAAACAAAAAACTGCTAAAATCACAATTAAAGTAAGCCAAATAACAGTAAATTATCTTCCTTGAAAATTTCACTACGCCCCAATTATTTTTATGTTCCATAGAAACATGCTTTTTTCACAGATCAGGAAACATTGTATTTTCCCTGCTTCCCTTCCAGCCAATATTCTACTTAATTTCCATATTCTGTCAGGATAACTAACGTGGGTTTGTCTAAAAATTACTTTCTCAGACAAATTTTGTGTTGCTTTAATCAGGTTTTGGTGTCAATGGGTCTCACAAACAAAGTCTGAATACTGCATTCAAGAAAAAATTGCAACTTGTCAAAAATAATGTTGGTTAACCAACATGACCTTAACAATTTAGTACTCATTGAAAAACACTGACAACAAGCCCAGTTCATGTAAGTTTTCTGTGAATCGATTGTATATCTTTTATAATAGTCTTAATTGATTTTCTTTTGATAAAACTGTACATTATAAGTTAACACTTTCTTTGGCTGCAACTCACTTTGAGAGAAGTCCCTCTTAGATTTTCTATAATTGTTTCCCAAATGATTCTGACTAAAAGAGATTATGAAAAATCAGAGAATTTTCACACAATTTCTGCAGGTTCTCAGTGTAGCCTAACCTGAGAATTCATATAATTGACTCATTAAATTTCAGAATTCGGCCATTGAAATTTTAAAGCTCTATCCATATTTACAATGAACAGTTCCAAATTCAATGCAGGTAAAGTATTATAATAAAGGTTTGCCTATCTACTTGTTTTCCCTCAACTAAACTAAACTCTAAACTTTTACACTTTTCTAAATAGATAAGACTAAGTACTAGTTGACTGTTTTGATCTTGGCATAATTAATCCACTGATAATTTTTAATTTACTATATTTCAAATTCATGCCCCTAACTGACAGAATAGAACTAGAGCAAATTGCTGAGAAATGATGAGGACGTAACAGCCTGCATGGGCACATTCTTTATCATAATTATGGTAATCAAGTCATTATACCCACCTAATCCTTTTTCAAAATTATTCATTGCTTAAGCTTAAAATCAAAATCAAATCTTTTGTAGCCATATTTATCTAATTTACTCTATTATCTATTATTTGGTGAAAATAAATTATTTTTAATATTAGAGCATCAAAATGTAATCAAATTTCAGAAGGCCAGTATGTCAGTCTTTTTCAACAACTTGGTGTCTCTAAATACATGTACATTGTTTCAAGAACTGTCTGAGGCACAACATTCAAAGAGGTATAACCATCCAAGAAATTTTATCCTCAAAGAAGTATAATCCTCAAAAGGATATAATACTCCAAGAGATAATTATCATCCTCCAAAATGTATAACTTTTTACTCAAAAAGAGGTTACTATTATCCTCTAAGAGGTATTATCCTCTAAAGAGGTATTATCCTCCAAGAGATTTTATCCTCAAAGAGGAATAATACTCAAAGAGGTATAAACCTTTCTAGAGGCATTATCCTTCAACAGCAGGTATAATCCTCTAAGTGGTATAGCCATTCAAGAAGTATCATTTAACTGGTATTATCCTCCAAGAGGTATAATCCTCCAAGAGATATTATCCTCTATAAGGATAAACTTTAAAGAGAAATTATCCTCCAACTGGTATATTCCTCCAAGAGGTATAATCCTCCAAGAGATATTATCCTCTATAAATATAACCTTTAAAGAGAAATTATCCTCCAACTGGTATATTCCTCCAAGAGGTATAATCCTCCAAGAGATATTATCCTCTATAAATATAACCTTTAAAGAGAAATTATCCTCCAACTGGTATTATCCTCCAAGAGGTATAATCCTCCAAGAGATATTATCCTGTATAACTATAACCTTTAAAGAGAAATTATCCTCCAAGTGGTATTATCCTCCAAGAAGTATAATCTTCAAACCTTCCATCTTACAGCAGCCATGTTGTTATGGCTTATTCACATGAAGAATTCAAACATCCAAAGTCGGATACAAACCATGTATTATGAACCATCATTAAGAGGATGAGGTGTGAGCAATCAAAAGTCAGCCACCAGAACCACTGAACTACCTAACATTACACTAATCAAATAGCAGTTACTATCATATGGAGACAATTAGATGTTTTCATTTTCAACATGCTTGTGAAGAAAGTTTTCCCTAGAAATAATTAATGCTTGCTGTTTTTATGATCTTTTGTGAAAGAACTTTTACCAAAATAGGATAAATCAATAGAAATTGTCACAATATCTCACAACAAGTTGATTTTAACTTGATTATTATCACTATAATTAAATCAGCTGTAGTTAACCACAATTCCTAGTTTCCACATGAACTACTGCAGTACAGATTATAAAAACTTCCCACTTAAACTTTCCCATCATTCCCAATACACTGTAATCATTATTAAATCTATTGAGCAATATGTCTCTCTAAAACATTGGTTATTGCCTTAAAGCAAAATAAAAAAAAACAACAAAAAACAACAATAACAAAAAACACCCACTTTCATCCATAACTGAATTAAATCAAATTTGTTCAAGTATGATTCAATCTAGACTCAATAATTGAATCACTTGTGAAGCGCATCGCATACACCAATAGTCAGTAACAACTTCATGAAAATATTTATAAATTATATGTTTGCTCATCATGTACATCCTATACCCACTGTATTTAACACTGTAACATCTTTAACAAATGTAGCAATTATCATTCTAGACATGTTCAAATACTGTTTCAAGTTGTTCTATTCCATATCATCTGACCATTCCCCCCTGGACATTAAACTTTGCCTCCAATTTTTTAAGGCAGACATTTGCCCTTAGATAATCTGTTTTGGAAGGGGAGGATATTTACCCCCTTTACGTCCTTTAAAAGCTTTGACATTTTTACCCCTATTTTATCAATCTAATAATTATAAATATGCCATAAAACGTAAACACTAAGGAAACATTCACTTACAAAAAGAATAAATTTACTAGCTAATTTCCATCATGCTGCATGGTTAAACTTGACAAAATTGTAAATAATTCCATTGTTTGTTATGATTTAGGATATACAAATGTGTTTAAATAATAACTATTGTTAAGTAAAGAAAGTTTTGTAGAACATTTATTAAGCATCACAGAAATTTTCACCATGCTGTGAGGTTGAAATCAGTATTGTACATTCCTGCAGAATCTATGTTAAACAAACCCTATTGTTTTAAAATATGTTTATTGATCTTAGAGGCTATTTTATAATGCAGTTTTCAGTATGCTATTTTTAGTATCACTCATTTGCAGGTTTCCCCTAGCTTGCGGCTATTTCTATCGTCCATTATCACTGTAAATAATCTGTTAAATCTTATAAAGTTATATATCTGCTGCAAAAATTATAGTTTGAATTTTGGAATAGAAAAAATCCAAAATATCTGTATGAACGAAATTTGTAAGGTAAGAATTTGACTTCAAAGCAAATGAAACATATGAAAAATATGATGACTGCTAAATGATTAAACTTCTTCTTATTAAAGTGACATTATGCTCATATTTTCATAGTCACGTTGAGCTGAATTGACTTTTTATTTCCATAGATTGTTTGTTAAAACGGTGTTTTACCAACAGTTTATATTGAAAACTGTTTAGGATGAATTTAGAAATATGCCTTAAATATAAAAAGACTGTCCCACTCTTTTTACAAACTAAACATTTTAGGTAAGTTCCTATTGATATTTACGGAAATTCCATTTGATTTGGGGGTTATCTATTGTTTATGTGATGAAAATTATTAAATTTAATGGAATTATGGCAATAAAAAAACTAATTTTGACTTTCACCTGTTCACTCACTTTATGCCCTTGAATGGGCATAATGTCACTTTAAACATAGCAACATAATATCTGATCTGGAATTTTTTTTCTTTTTAAGTACAGTATTAACTTGTGTTCTGCAAAATTACTAAAAACCATTTAATTTTACTGTTAATTAATTTTATAAAAGTATTTCATTAGAAAATTATAGCTTTATACACTTCAAATTTATTAAATACTAGTATTATATTAAATTTGAGTGGCAAAAAAGAAGAAATAACCATAGGACATAGATGCCATGCCATTCTGATGTTTTGTAACAAAAATTCCTTTACAAACATTGGTGCATATCATTAAATAAGAGTTACATTTCCTGGAGTTACATATGCTAGTTTTTTTTCTTCATCAGGGGAAAAACCTACGTTAATCTC